AAATCTATAAAGTGTGTTGCGTCACCATTAGAAGGAATAAAGTGAGTAACGACCCTTAAAACAATAAGTAAATTTGTTTGCTTACAAGGCGACAAAACCTTAATATCAATAGAACACAATGGGAACAATAGTTGCCCCGTGTCAATTATGCTATCATTACCATTGGAATAAACGACGTAACGGATCAGATCATTGTTGAAAAACAACATGATGACGACGGAATTCAATCTCGACTACTCTTGGTTCTGTTATCAGGAAGAATGATCTGTATCCTATTATTATAAATGTTGAAATCCTTTGAACCTTTGAGCAAAGATGTGGCATTTTGGACATGATGTAACCGTTACCCCATAAATCATTTATATAGTGTACATAACGATGTTTGAAATTTGTGTCACCTTGGTATGCACAATGAACCTGATTAATAATAAAAAGATTGCTCGCACGGCTCACTAAAAAAACCTATGTTTAGTTTTGTTTGTAATTATATGATTGTAGAATATTTCTAAAACATCTGCGGTAAGGGTTTGGATAGAGCGAATAATATTTCATCATTTACAGTTTGCAAATGTCTTAAGTCCTAATTTGTAAGTACAAATAAATTTTTATCGAGAAGTTTCACGTTGTATGTGTTGTATATATTTCGTCAACTCTTAATGAATATATCGGCGAGTAGTCATAATTATCTCGGCAGGTGGGTGTCATCCCCCCATGGTGTTTGCAAATGTACAAGTGGTGTGTCGTAAAAATGACAAACTTACTTTTATTGCACGCCTCGACATGTGTAAGTAATGTTTTGTCCCGTCGTACGTTTTTGTCAGCGGGTAGGTTGCGATTTATTGAGAAGTACTGCTGATAATTTTATTTGCGCGGGGTTCGCCTAAAGGCTTCTCTGGTTTTCGACTAATGGCACTTGCGAGTATGCGTGCGCATTGACACAGACACGCTCGCACGTATGTTTCAAAGTTAAAAAGCTATGTACCTAATCTCTTTTGGTTTTACCGTAAGGTATTTTGTATTTAAACACGCTTCTGGAACGCTATATTATTACCAAAAGCTATTATTGAAAAATAAAACAAAAAAATATTATTGCAGCACTTTGAGACATGACCCCAAACACTGCTGTAATGTCCTGAACTACATGCATCCAAAAGATCCTCATAACTCGTCAGTTAGGCGCATGTTATACTGCCACATCATAAACTGGTGGCCATGGTATGGTGGCTGGCCATTTGGTACTTCTGCTTACTGTTTTTTGGCTACATTAGTGTGCTTGTATTGGTAATATTCTCGTTTCCCATGGATTCTATCACACAGGAAATTCATAATTCGAGGCGCGTAGCTATTTTCGAACAGAAGTTTTATTTTTGTATGTAAAAACAATTTAAAAGAGTATAAGCGCGGTGTACAATTTAAAAGAGAGTGCGTGTGTCTCATCGTGCCATCTACCGGAAAGGACAGGACGCCATCTGCCAGGCTAGTTAGTTGTTTATAACATATCGATGTAATTATTATTTTTAATAGAATAAGGGTGACAGGCAAGCACACTGTCCACCTGATGGTAAGTGGATGCTGCGGCTCATAGACATCTACATCTATCCTCTATTAAGAATCAAAATGCAGATGCGTTGTCACCCTTAAGACTAAGATGGAGTGTAAAAAGGGTCTGTGGTTCTCCACACCTACCATAACACAACAACATTAAACAGCTCTTTTACCCCTTCTCTCCGATCTCATTCTCCCTGATCGAACCGATCCATTTGTGCTACAACCATAATTTCGTGATACCATCCATACCATCTGGACGGCGGTCCACCACCGTGCGATTTAAAAGTAGTTTTCTTCCTCGCACAACCTCCTTGTGGAATCGACTACCACCAGAGATTTTTCCGGACCGATACCACTTAGGGACCTTCAAGAAAAGAGCTTTTTAAAAGGCCGGCAACGCATCTGCGATTCCCCTGGAGTTGCAGCTGTTCATGGGCGGCGGTAATCACTTACTATCAGGTGAGCCGTATGTTCATTTGCCCCCTTTCCTATAAAAAAAAAACTTGCTGCTACACGCAACTACCACGTTTAATCGTTTAAGTAATATACATAAAACATAATATTAATAATAATGTCCTCCTGACCGAATTTCGGCCATGGCGGCCTGCCTTAACGTAGGCTAGCCATCGGCGCAGGATAGGATTATAGTGCCCAAGTGTATGCGCAAGCACATGTGCACTCTCTATTCCCTCACTCTCGTAATCCGAGGGGACGGTAAACCGACACGACCGGGAGAGAGATCAGGCGCAGGATCAACGGCTTTACGTGCTTTCCGAGGCACGGGGGTGAGACACCGCCAACTTCCTTACTCCGGGCAGCTACTGAGAATTTCTTGACCGAAAAACTCAGTAACTGATTTTTTGGCCCGACCCTGGATTCGAACCCAGGACCTCATGATCAGCAGTCGCACTACTACAACCACTAGACCAACGAGGCAGTCTACATAAAACATATATCAAAATAAAACAGTTGCTGAAAGTGATAATAAATAATCTTTGCAAATTATTTCATCTAATCATAATCACCTACAATTAGATCTAGTCGTAGTTGCGAATTAACTTCAATAACTAATGTACATACATATAATTTCTATCATTAATTATTAATCTCACCTTCTGCAAGGAATATAACGAATAGACTTGAGTGGCGAGTGGGTACCGTCAGCAATCCCTTTAAATTTTTTTCACATTTATAATACAACATTTTGTTTTTCTACATAGTTTGTATTTTTTTGTTAAATATAATTTATGAGAGTGTTATAGAATTTAAAAGTCTGCTACGTTACTCCAGTGCGAAATGACGAAAATATTTTTAAATAATTAGATATTTAGATTTCATCATTTTCTTTCACTCCGAGGGTATGAATGCCGCCTATGAATTCAATGCAATGGCTCATTATATAAGTTACCTCGCGGTTATAGTAAGCGTAACCTTATGTTTCTTCACATTGAATAACTATATGGATATAATTTTTTTAAATTTAGTAAACATCATATTACAAGGATTTTCAAATTTTGTAGGTATGTTAAAATAGAACTCAAATTAAAGTTATTTGCTTGTTTGTGTTAAGATTATACCTATTTTCAGCATCATTTTCTAGGTGTACGTTTTAAACCGATCAGAAATACATATATCATTTGTGTTTATTACTTGAGCTCAATATTTTTATGTTGACCGTACACAGCAGTGCTTTCAGTGATTTATGCAGGCGCCTCAGAGGTTGCAGATTCAGCTCTGTGATTGAGAGTTACGATTGTCATTAATATCGTAATGGAATCGATTTATGTTCACAGATCATCATATCGATTTTATTGCTCGGCTCGCGTTGTATTTAATTTCACTTGTATCATGAGGCTTTAGTATCATTACAGCGCCTATTAGTATCGTTTACGGTGCAAGACAATTTGTTTTATGTAGAACAAGTTAAAGAATGTATAACTTATGTTGTGATACTTTATTTAGCTGTTCCATACTTTAATGAATTTTAAAAATAAGAAAAGTAACTATGATTGAAATGTTTTCGATATAAATTGTAATGTATTTAACTGGTGGAGGTGGTGGTAAGCTGATGGTGGCGGTGGTTCATGTAGAAAGAATGAATGAGGAAAGAGTGACAAAGCCCTCTGTTTACCCCTCTTGGTGACAGGCGTGAGGTTTATGTATGTGTGTAATAATTATGGATTTAACTGTGTGGACTCAATTAACATTTATTCAAATACGAAATAAAAAATGTAAAAGTTTCCTATGGGTTACATTTTTAATTATAGTTTACACGTAAATTCTGAAGTGGTAGAATTTTAAATACATTACCAATTTATTATACTTTTTGAAATATTCGTAAGCCTCTCCAAAACTTTTAGAAAGCAAAATAAATGACAAGCTTATTTGTTATTCAATTAATATACTCTATCCCAGGTTTTATGCCTCCGGATACCAGCGATGATAATAAATATAGGTCCTTTTTTATCAGCAACAATAGTGACGACGATAGTCTTATAACATTTACTTGTTATCAAGTGGATGTTTATTATAACTTTTATAAAAATAATTAAATTAACCAAAGCACACGTGGTCTTTTTTGTTTCAAGCTGGAAGATATCAAGAGTGATATAACTTTCGTGTCTTCGTTAAATTTTAATCAATTGTAAGAAATGGTAATCAGATTCACGATTAAGAAGCAATGTTTAATATTTATGCACGGGTTTCTCAACGTATAATATAATATTCATGAATTTATTTTAATCGGCCTCTCTTAATTCATAAAGGCCACCGGCGAATTCGAAATTGAAAATTAACCCCTTTTAGACACACCTCCTGGCGCTCTTATAATTTTTTTCTGCAGACTTTTACATCATGTCAACACCGTCCATAAATAATATCTACTCTACAATCCTCTACTATATTATTAAGGATGCCTGACATTTTATTTAAGGCGGTTTTAGATGAAATTGATTATTTTTTGTTTAAAGTTGTGCCTTGGGATGCAACCGAGATGACTTCGAGATTTATGTCCGTCGGTTTTTGAAAATTACAGTTATTTGGAATTCTAATACGTTTTTCCCCTTTTGTACGTTAAATAAAAATCGAATTTGCTTCTTGGAAAGATGCATTGTTTGCTTGGTTACTTAATTTGGTTTGTTTTGCGTTTTCACGTTATCAAGTACCTGACTAGCTTTAAATGTTAACGTTTCGGATGTCCCGTCCAAAACCCGTCAGGTGGCGGGATCAACCCGTCAGGTGGCTCTCGGCGGGCAAAGTTCATCGACACCGGTAAGGTGGGGCTAGTCGATGATTGATCAGCGCCCTTATCAGTGCACTGTCGCCTACGTGCGGCTTTTTCAAAGACGCATTGTCTATGACCACGGAAGCAGGTTCTAATGGCTCCTCAACCTTAAGGATGTCGTAGAACTTTTATAGTAGTGTATAATTAACGTATTTCTGCTTTGTTTCAGGTAGTACAAATAAAACATAGGGATGTAAATGAATTGTAAGTATTTTAGTTAGGTATTTGTTACTTAATAACTGTTAGTTAGAGTTTGTTGTATTTTATTCGGTGTAGCTAAAGTCATATCGTCTATTTGCTAATGGTTGACTTTTCCAAGTAGTCTCCCAACTGATAGACCTTAAGATGAATGTGGACAAGACAAAACCGAAAGCTGTTTGTAATAATACGTTCGAAGATTTTGAGAAGTATTTGTAACTTTTTTAAATATAAGCCAGCACTGACTACCATCTCACCTAATATAAAACGGTCACGTTGTCGAAGAGGTTAAAGTATTCTGATTTAGTGTTATAACTATTCACTCTTGCCTTGAAAACACATTGTATTGAGATACAAAAGCAGATGCTGGCAAATTATTCCATTATTTTGCTGTAAGCATTACGAACAACGAAGCAAACACTGTTTCGAATGTGTGGTATGTCGACAACTAAAGAATGGCGACTGGCTAATATCGTCAAGTAATCGTCAATTTGTTAAATGGTAGGAGTTGGAGGCACTTTGTTACGCTATTCCTGAGCACACTCTTCAAAATGTATCCAGTTTAACACCTAAAGATTGGTTATTTTGTGTCTGTGTTTGTGACTGGTAAGTTTGGCTTTTTTAACTAGATTTTTTTATAGGACAGGGTGACGAACGAGCACACAGTCCACCTGATGGTAAGTGGTTGCTGCGGCCCATAGACATCTACATCTATCCTCGATTATGAATCAAAATGCAGGTGCCTTGTCACCCGTGAGGACTAAGATGGAATGACTCGTTTTCCAGTAAAAAGAGTCTCTGGTTCTCTACACTCACCATACGAAACGCAGCAACATTAAGCTACTATTTTACGCTGGTATTCTGTGAGAGCGTGGTCCTTCCCCGGTCGAGCCGACCCATTCGTGCTAAAACTATGCTACTAATATAACTGCAGCATGGCTCTATCACGAAGAGATTAACTGTAATCTGTTACAAAAAGTATTCTCTAATCTGTTTTTAACCAGATTTAGTTTACCAACGAGTCCAAAGCTGCTAGGTGGCATTTTGCTTTACCAGCCCTAATATGAATGCAATACTCCATGCTCGACCTGATTTGCGCTTTATATAGTCCAAGCAGAAGTCCCGTTTCATGTTTGATGAAATCTTAACTCCCGACAACTGAACGCGGTCGGTGTGTTCCATTGATACATCTCGCGAATGAGGTGCCAAGGTCACCTGACTTCTTTTAGCGGTAAAGAGACACGCGACATTAGCATCAGTGACTGCTTACAGTGAGAGATTTATACGCTCAATCATAGGTTATTTTTTGGACTGCATTCGATCTCGACTGACCTCGACTGGACTCGGCGCATATAGCTTCATAACTGTGCTGTTATCTGCGCACCTATAAATAGCAAGGTAAGCAGAGAATTCATATGTGGTAGAGCCATGCTGCAGTTATATTAGTAGTAGGTACAGTTGTAGCACGAATTAGTCGGCTCGACCGAGGAAGGACCACGCTCTAACTGAATATCAGCGTAAAATAGTAGAGTAATGCTGCTGTGTTTCATATGGTGAGTGTAGAGAACCGGAGACCCTTTTTACTGGAAACGAAGTCCATCTTAGTCCTCACGGGTGACAACGCATCTGCATTTTTATTCGTAATTGAGGGTAGATGTAGATGTCTATGGGCCACAGCAACCACTTACCATCAGGTGGACTGTGTGCTCGTTTGTCACCCCATCCTATAAAAAAAGAACGGAAGAGAACCCCGAAGAGTAGCGACCGTTCATTCAAAAAGGCGCTCACCCAGTTGATCTGGCCAGTAGATAAGCCGTAGTAGTGCCTTTTTCTCTAAACCCTTGCCACCACAAACATCAGAATTCACCCCCATATATTATGTCTGGTATATACCTTAGTATATTGCCAGTTCTGGCACTGATTTGATAAGTCCAACTTCGACCGAGAAGTCAAACGACAAATCTCACTTCCATGGGCCGCGTTTGTGAAATTGCAACAACTCTTACTTAACCGATATACCTCACAACAGTGTTGTGCGACACACCATAGATTGGGTGACGATCTGATGTGATGATTCAGGTAATCAATGGATGTCCTTCATCCATTGATTACTTGAAAAATCTATGGAGGCTGGGGGAGCTATTGTTCTGCATTAGACTTGTGATGAGCTGTAGTGATGATGATGATGACTTTAAATTAGTAATTAGTTAAATCTGGCATCGTTTTTCGGTTGATATATACCATATTAGGTCATATTTCTTTAAATGTGTAAATTGTTTTGTAATGTTTGATTTTGCTTTCAGATGGGACATAAAAGCGGTGCTGAAAAAAATACCTAAGTTAGGAGCAGTTGTGGACCTTACAAATACGACTCGGTATTATGATCCCAAGGTAATTGGTTGATATATTTGATGTAGGCGCTATGTTTCGTAATTGTCTTATTTAGAGGTGTCTATAGCCGCATTGGAGCCGTTAAAATCTATTTTATGTATTTAATTAGGTAATAAATGTTAACTAGTGTACGTACTACTTTTGTTACTTTGCACACAGTATAATGCATTTCGATATGCCACATATGGGTTATGTCATGTCATTACGTATTATAATAATTAACTGAATAAGCATTCCTGCGAACTTGTTTGTAATAATGAAAAGCAATTCCATATCGTAGTACCAGACAACACATATTCACAGCACGGTTCGGAATAACGACTCTTAGTTTGTTTGGATAGCGACTATAGGACGCTCGTGGTTGCCAGAATACTTGAAGCAATAAAATTACGTTCAGTTTTACGATTGAAAATCACATTTTCTGCCATGATGCTTTGTTCGTGCCTTAGTTTGATTGCCTTGCATTCATCTCCCAAAATAATCTCATCGTTAATGTCTGTTTTCATTGTGTAGTCTCATTGGTATGGGTGTAAGATATATTTTTTGGACGCAATGGCTAATGAAAATCTGAGATTGCTTTAGATATACGTGATGTATACGTAATATTTATTTCTAAATATGTAGTATATATATATATATATATATATATATATATATATATATATATATATATATATATATATGTAATAAGTAATTTTAAAATTCTTGAAATTACTCTTGTATTGCGTTAGTGTATTAATATAATTTTTATAAACTAAATTTTTTGTATATTATATGTGATTATAGGTATAGGTTAGTGTGTGTGTTGTCGGACTTCTCATTTTATCGACATATTTTATTACTCAAACATGCAGGTTTTATCAGGAATTTTTTTACATTCACCGGACGAAGTTGCATGCTCAGTTGCATATAAATCAATTGAAAATTATTTTAATATTTTTTCGTTTCCTTCTTCATCAGCCCGTAATAGTGCACAACTGGACATTGAATCTCCTCCGTTGTAAGGAGGATTTATCTTAATCGTCACGCTCGGCAGATGGATTGACGATCGCAGTACCAGACGTCACGCACCTTTGGCTCTTTGCTAGTCGACGAGCGGGGTATTTTGTGTCCTGTACAAACGTGATGGTTATACCGCCATCTCTCGAAAGGCATAATATTTTTCTGGCATTTCTCAGTTTCACTTACGACACCCTCGGAGGAAATGGAGTCTCTTACGCTACCGTCACAAGGATATTTTCAGTTGTAACTAACAATCGTGACGCACAAATTCTCGAGTTTTTTTTACTTTATACCAATTTGGTGCAAATGATTCTATATATTGTGGATTAATTAACGTCAACCGTGACGTTGATTCCTACCTTGATTAATAGAGATCGACTACCTTCATTATTATTTTTAATCGTTATTTACTTTAATGTATGCTATATCCTTATGACTTATTCTCCAAATCGATGTTTCAACTGCGAAAGCGATTGAACTAAAAACGTATAAGTTAGTCGTATCATTTTTAACATTGTGAGCTGCTCCACACATTAGAATCACGTCGGAGTTAGTACTCGTAAGTTTCTCTTATTTATGAGTTTTCTTTGTGAGGAGTTTATTTCAAATACTGAATGTAAAACAATTGAAAGTCAAAGAAAATAATATCCTCAAATTTTTGAGTTTAATATGTTGTACTTTTTGCGTAATTTTTATTTAAAGGGATTCACACAATTAAAACGGTAACTTTAAGCTTTAAAGCCTATTAAAATTAATGTATTATCATATTATCACCTGTTCCTATCGATTTGAGGCAGTAAGAACGTGGGAGCTGTTATTCTGACATGATCATCAGGGGGTGACAAATAACAGTAATATAAACTTAATAATTTAGACCAAGACGCACTCACGTACACATTTGCAAACAATAACTTGGTTTTAGGTGGACATGTGTGAGTCCAGTCACCGCGTAGTGACGGTGTAAGAATCTCCACTTCCCCATACCATTCCGTGGGCATCGTAAAAGGCGACAGAGGGAAACAAATCCGGAGATGGGTAGCAGCGTTTTCATAATAACGACTAAAATGCAGTACTGCAGTTGCCAACCTGCTTGCTAGTAGTACTACTCCAAATATCCCTACTAAGAGACATTCTGTGGGGGAGGCCTATGTTCAGCAGTGAACATTAATTAGGCTGTAATGGTAACGGTAACGGTAACGGTAACGGTAACGGTGTGTGTCGAACAATGAATTTTACGGGTTGCTAAAGGGGAAAGAAGAAAGAATTTGTACGTGTGCTTGTCAAGAAGTTTTAAGCATGGTTTATGTATGGTTCGTCTTTCACTCTTTCATAAAGTAAAGTAAAGTAAAGTTACAGCCTATATACGTCCCACTGCTGGGCACAGGCCTCCCCTCATTTCCGAGGGGATTTTAGGGCAAGGAGGTGTCCGCCGCGCTGCCCCAATGCGTGTTGGCGAACTTCACATGTCTTCGAAATATTTTTTTGTTTTTTTCCTTCACCGCCGAGCACGTGGTAAATCGGCACTTAAAATTGCAATTAACAATTTCATTGGTGCCGGCGGGGATCGAAACCGGGTTACTCGCGTTCTGTTATAGTTACAGCGAGCGTTAACCATCTGAGCTACCACGGCTCTTTCATAGTCTGAGCTTAATAACATATTATTGTTTCATAATATGAGCCACTGCCAGCTAGTCTTTAAACGTTTGGCAAAACGTTATTTGCTAAAAGATTTAATGGAAATTAAAATATCTGCATGGATAGGGAAGATATTGTTTACACATGTAATTTTATTATAAAAGCCAAAATGTTCTTAAGGTGTTAATCTTATAATGATTGACTATTTCTACACTCTTGGGCGTATCGGACCATCGCCCGCTTATTCGCTTTATGTAAAGCCCCTTTAAAAATCACCACTTTACATATAATTAGTGATATACATGTAAATTTGTAAGACTTGTATCTTTTACTTAGTTTTATGGATCGTATCTCACAGAGCGTCACGCCTAGTCCGTTGACGGCGCTTGTCAACGCAATAGCGCGTGTCGGCACTGATTGGGCCTGTCAACTTGAATTACACTGGCGTTTCTCGAATTGAAACACACTCGAGTCAATTAAATTGGTGTCCGGTGGCGGTCAATAGAAGGGATACTTGATTTTTTTTTAAGTGAGAGATGTGATTTGATTTGTATTCCGTGTGTCATCACTAGTTTTGCCACATTTTCCTTTTCGCTTTTTTTAGTAAGGATCTGTAAAAATAACGTACTCGTAGTATTTTCAGGAGTTTCTTTAGTAATATGACAAAGTTTGAATTTTTTTTAAGTTTCGGAGATTCTAAATCGGCGTGCGAATTTCTTCTTAAGTTTTTATTTTTTATAAAATTGAAGTGGCAAACGAACTTGTAGCCCATCTGATGGCAAGGATGATATGATACTGCAGCCCATGGACACTTGTAACCAACTCCAAACAAAGAAGACAGGGTGCATCATGCAGGGTGCTGGTCCATTGGTTCGAATCCGCCATTCGATTACAGTTTTATTTAATTTATTGTTTTAAAGTTGAGTACAAAAGTACAAGTAAAATAGCATCTATAAACCACAAAGGTTTGAAAGTAACGCTATAATATGCATCGATAAGGTTTGATAAAGAAAAATAGAATATTGTAATATTACATTGTTTTGCGATATTTAATTTTTCCCGTAAAATCTGAGATTGCACACATCAGGCCGTGCTCGCTAAATGTTTCCAAATATGAATCTTTGTATGATGTAATGGATTTTAGGTCTGTATTCGTGTTACCTATTACTAGAAGATTCCGTTGTAAATAAGTAAAAACCCAACCAGATGGAAACCCTCAGTAGGGGAGACCAAGTGCCGTAGGCGAAGGTGGGTCACTTTTGTCTCTCCCTACCGAAGCTGAAATCCCCTCCCGAAGCCCTCCAGTAAGGTACTGAAAGGGTTCAGAGAGAGGCAAAACTAAATTGGTCTCCGACAATCGCCCTGGAAGATACCATTTCTTATCCTTATATGGTTTTCCGCGGCTGTCATCCGCTCGCCCAGATGACAGGGATCGTACTCAACTGCCCCATACACTGCTCGAGGAAGTATCTTACTTGTACAGTAAGATACTTCCTCGAGCAGTGTATGGGGCTCTTACTTGTACAGTAAGATACTTCCTCGAGCAGTGTATGGGGCTCTTACTTGTACAGTAAGATACTTCCTCGAGCAGTGTATGGGGCTCTTACTTGTACAGTAAGTTACTTCCTCGAGCAGTGTATGGGGCTCTTACTTGTACAGTAAGATACTTCCTCGAGCAGTGTATGGGGCTCTTACTTGTACAGTAAGATACTTCCTCGAGCAGTGTATGGGGCTCTTACTTGTACAGTAAGATACTTCCTCGAGCAGTGTATGGGGCTCTTACTTGTACAGTAAGATACTTCCTCGAGCAGTGTATGGGGCTCTTACTTGTACAGTAAGATACTTCCTCGAACAGTGTATGGGGCTCTTACTTGTATAGTAAGATACTTCCTCGACCAGTGTATGGGGCTCTTACTTGTACAGTAAGATACTTCCTCGAGCAGTGTATGGGGCTCTTACTTGTACAGTAAGATACTTCCTCGAACAGTGTATGGGGCTCTTACTTGTACAGTAAGATACTTCCTCGAGCAGTGTATGGGGCTCTTACTTGTACAGTAAGTTACTTCCTCGATCAGTGTATGGGGCTTTTACTTGTACAGTAAGATACTTCCTCGAGCAGTGTATGGGGCCTTACTTGTACAGTAAGATACTTCCTCGAGCAGTGTATGGGGCTCTTACTTGTACAGTAAGATACTTCCTCGAACAGTGTATGGGGCTCTTACTTGTACAGTAAGATACTTCCTCGAGCAGTGTATGGGGCTTTTACTTGTACAGTAAGATACTTCCTCGAGCAGTGTATGGGGCTCTTACTTGTACAGTAAGTTACTTCCACGAGCAGTGTATGGGGCAGTTGAGTACGATCCCTGTCACCTGGGCGAGCGGATGACAGCCGCGGAAAATCATATAAGGATAAGAAATGGTCTATTATATCAAATAATGCAAACATACAACATAACATAACGCCTGTACCCTCTAAAGGGGTACGTTGATGTGTTCAGTATACCATGGTACACCCTCATTTTTGTCAAAGTTGTAATATTGAAGTCGGTTGTATAAAACTTTTACTTTTACCACTTGTTAGATATGGGTTTGGTAAGAAAATTTAAAGCATTATAGAAAACAGTTTTACAACAAGGTTTCTCATTTTCTACCGACTTCAAAAAGGAGAAGTATGTTTTTTTATGTGTGTTACCTCAGAACTTTTCTTCTGGTTATCTTCTAGGGCTTTCGTTCTGGGTGAACCGCATTAGATGATTCTTTTTTTACCAAGATCTCACAAGTATTTATGCGTTATCCTTAAATAATGCGTATTTAATTGACTTCGAATACAAAGATGATATTCTTATTTTATTTATATTGAAGTTGGTTGTACAACATTTTTAATTTTACCACTTGTTAACATTAAAGTAACAAACGATCTAGTAGACCACTTAATGGTGACTACTGAATTTCATATACACCTGCAGCGAACTACTACCTCCATAACCTGTAATTATAATGACGTTTCGAAGTCGAACCGGAACACAACATTTTATTATATAATTAGTGTGTAAATTTATATCATGATTGTCCGAGACAAAAATAGTCAATATTATCAATTATCATAGCGATATAGTTTGTATATACGAATCAATTGCAATCTACGTGTAAATTATTACATTATTCCATTTTGCACTGGAACGAATCAACCACGTACTGGATGTTTTGTTTAATGGTAAATGCATAATATCTTAGCTGAAAATATAGTAGCAATGAGAAAAGAAAAACAAAAAAAAAGCTATTACAGGAAATTCTGGTTCAAAAGGCCTACTACAAAATATACGAACATATGAAGGACAGTGATATGTGGAAACTTTAATCTGCAAGTCCTCTGGCTTAAAAATATAAAAGTATTATTATATTACGTTCGTAAATTAAATTGTTTAATGGCATTTAAAAAAGCTCAGTTTTATGCCAGTTCGCCTCTGAGAAGTCCTTGTTTTCTAAAACGGTTTAAATATTAAATTTAAAAAGTTTGAATCTAGCCTCAATGAAATAAAAAGTTTTGATTTTGACTTTGACTTGACATGATTGACAAAGGTTATTTTGAATATGATTAGTGCGTCAAATTATATAAATTTTGAATATGATACTAGTCTCAATTACATAAAAAGTTTTGACTTTGACTTGACATAATTGACAAAGGTTATTTTGAATATGATTAGTACGTGAAATGATATAAATTTTGAATATGTATTTTGTTGCAGAAGTTCGAAATGGCGGGCATGCGTTACAAGAAAATTTTAATGCCGGGCCGAATTATACCGCCCGAGGATAAAGTGACAGAGTGAGTTAATTTTTTTTACAATTTTAATATATTATGTAATAATGATAACTGTTTTCTTATATGAAGGTTGTTTAAAAGTTATGTTGTTTACCGTTGTAAAACTTGTAGAAAGAGAATTTTATAGACTAGTTTCAGTTGCAGAACCCAAAAATGCCTTTCGTTTATTTTTAACATTAGGTTGACATGAACACAATATGTTTCACTACATTGTATCTGATTTTTGAGTAAAAATCTGTCACGCTGCTTTTTTTATAAAGGCGTTTACACTGTCAAACATTCTTTATGTTCTTAAATATGCAGATTAGCACTATTTTTCTCCTTAATTGGCATTACTAAAGGTAAAAAAGATTTTAGTTGTATAAACATAGACAAAACTCGCTACGTTTTTGTTTTTGACAAGACGTCGTTGACACAACCCGAGCCTTCCAGTGATTGATTTCGGGCTTTGCCAATACGCGATTGTACACTTATAGATGTGGCGCGTAAATCAAGTGAAGCTCGGCTATCGATCAATGCAGCAAGCAAGCCTTGTTATCTTTTTGCACTCGCGGCGTGTTTTTAATTTGAAGCGTCGAATTGGCGCCATTCGTAGGCCGAATATGGGTAATGTTATAAATCTCGCTGGAGGCGGCGTGGGCGGTGGCGGTCGCCGCCGTAGCGCAGTGTTACTCCTTGGATTCAATTGAAGCCGGTCGCATCTAGCGCTTGTATTCCACGCCGGAGTAACGCGCCCACGCGCGCTCGAACACTTTCGGAATTTGAAAGGCATTTGTCGTTGCCCCAGTGCGTCTCGCCTTTCGTGTATGTAACTGATGTCCGTGTTAATAGAAAAACAAATATTTTATTGTCTCGTAAATCTATGTATTAAGACCAGAGCTCTACCAAAAGTTCTGAAATCAATACCCACATTTACGTACATGTCCACACGTCTCAGTTTAAAAGTGGGCAGTGTCCTAGAAATAGATTTTACACATTCGAAACCTCTGTAGTACTATAATATAGTATTTTGTTGAATTTTTTGAGCAAGCGTTAAGAGGTGAGAGTAAGTCAACTCAAATTCTAATTTCGCCCCCACTTCCCCGCGCGTCGTATGCTATGTACCGACATGTTTGTAATCACTAATACTCTAAGTAGATAGATACTTATTTCATTATGTTTATCATATATATGCCTGTTTCTTAACGCCAACCCAGTCGCTTCTTATTTTTATAACGGTTATTTCCCATTTTAATTTTACGTCTTCCTGTTGCGTAATGTGTTTTCTGATCGTAAGCGACACAACTTCTCCCTTCAAAAGCCGGAGCAATACTAACGGAGCGACAGGAACCAAGCTTACGCGCCGATAGTTTAGGTAATTTCTTTTTACAGTGAAAATAATGATATTTAAAAAAAAGTAAGTAACATAAGCACTGCTTTATGGTTAGTTCAGTTAGTATGCAAAGTTTCATGATCTTATTTAAAGTATTTTATGAATAACAGCGGTTTATTGTTCAGTTTGGAGGTAACTTTGGATTTTTTTTTCTATCGAGAAAATTTTACGGAATCGTGTTTTCGTCTAACATAAACCTTAACATTAATCCTCAACTTTACCATATATTTATTTCAAAATTAATGCTGCAATACTTTCGGCATAACGGAGGATCTTGCTAAGCCATTTGAGGTTATATTTCCCCTTAATATGTTATAATATTAACCTTTAGTTTGCGTATTAAACGATACAACAGATAGCTGTGGCAGTATTGTTGCACATGTCGTAGGTGAATAATGAACACATTATAACATCTGCACTGTCTAAGAGCATTAACTATATGATTATCTCGGTCATTTGTCTAGTCTTTTGTTCGGCGCTGCGCCACGTCGTCGGCCGACTTCACCATAAATTACCATCGGCATTTCTCAGATAGTTGGTTCCTGTTATCGCGCCCGAGAACCTCGCATCTGTTTGTCAGTTAAGGAAAGACAAATGTGCCACCCGTAAAGCTACTACGGAGCGGGCGCTCGGAGATGGAATTTTTTAGACGTATATTAGGTACTACGTGATTGCGTAGTCTTATTAAGATACAACGTAACAGAAAACACGTTTTTATTTAAAAAAAAATTAAAAATATTTATATGTAAGATCTGTAATTGAAATTAGTATAGCAAATAGTTACCTGTAAAACTCCCTATGGTACTGAAATATCTTCTAAATAAAATTTTTCATACGCTGATACAGTTCTAACCAGCGTATTTACGGAAATCACACCTTCAGTGAGTATGGCTCAAGGCGTTTGAGGGGAAACAAAAAAAAAACATCGTTTCGATAGAAGATCCGGTGATAAATAATGCACAATTGAAAAATATATGTAACGCATTTTTAAATCGTAAATCAGTGGGTTGCAGGTACATTTGAAATTAGAACCTAATAAGTAAATATAGCGAATCGTAAAAAAATACTCGTGTGAAATTCGGCAAAGTTATTTAACATTTATTATTTCTAATGTTAAAGACCAAAAAATTACAACATGGTATAATTTTATATATACCGTGTTATTTTCAATTTTCAAAATACGATGTTTTTTCATCATCATCACTATCATCGGTGAACCTATATAGGCGTACCCAAAGGAATGCTCGATACAGTTTTGAACCACCTGGATCTATCGAGACTTCCTTCATGTCTTACTAGGTCGTCACTCCATCTAGTGCGGAGATCGCCCCCACACTTTGCCTAACGTTATGAGGCTGCCGCTCTAAAAATGTACTTTCCGTCGGTTTACAATTCTTGGAGGTATATTGTCGGCGTACTGCCACTTCAGCTTACTGACGAGTTGTTCTGTCGATTGATCTCTCTGTCGAAGTTTTACTTCCTTACCTTGCTCTTAGTATTGTGTAATGAATCTATTATAGTTATTTTATATTGCCGTGTCCAACGCCAAATGTTTTATGTTCTGTGAACATAAAATATTTACTAAGTTATGTTTGCGTAAATTACGGATGTTCCCCCTAGATCGAACGGTTATAAGTTGGAAAAGCTGCTTGCGTCACTGTGATCGCTATATGAAAAATATGTCGTTTATTTGCACCGTAGATCGAATAAGGAACAAGATCAGTGATATGCAATCTAAGTATATATATATTTGTGTATGTTTATATATTTATAATTCCCGTGGGATATTGATATTTTCCAGCAATAAAAGTAACCTATGCCTATCTCCGTCGCCTTACTATCTGTGCGAAAATACAGATCGATCCATTGATTCGCGGCAGTGTGACAGGAGCACAAACGAAAAACTCATACATTGGTAGGCTGTAATTAATGAATGAATGAATAGTCTTGAAATGGACTGTCTACAGCCGATATTAGCCTATAAGGATGGAATAGCGAAGGTATATTCACAAGGTATTTAAGAAACTCGCTAGGTATAACTGGGTATAACAGTTGTGGCGCGAGATATTTTTCTCAAGAAATTTAGGTCTAATTCTAGAAGGAATATGCCATAATTAATACGCAGTGTTTATATTACAAAGGCTAGATTTGAAGTTGGGATCTAGCTGCGGATTATTTTAGGAGTTTAATATAAACAAAAAAGTTCCGTCCGTTTGGTTTAAATCATAAAATGAGATAATCGACAAGCAATAAAACAGTAAACGCGATTCGCTGTATGCGGGCCATTATGTCGAGAAGAAAGCCCGTGGTAGCAGCCCCGTGACCTTTTACTGAAGATCATCAAACGCACGCCCGTAACGATGCTCGCGTGCCTCGACCGCTCCTCCATTTATCACGTGTGTATTTTTACTTGTTTCCCCATGTCGCCTGTCCACAATCATGTCGTCATTACAAACCGGCGCGTGTACCTACAGATCGCTCGGACTATAAATTCTGACCACCGCCGCGTACACGCAGATTGCACTCTTTTCCTTCTTGTCAACGTATTTAACGCCTATATTGCATTACGATACGATATACGCACATTACTGATCGCGTGCAGTAAAATGGCCTAAAGAATTGTCACATTTTACCTTCATTTCTCCTGCAGCTTTTTACGTTATGTATCAAAAGTGTAGTATGATGATGTAAAGTAAAGTTACATCCTATATACTTCCCACTGCTGGGCACAGGCCTCCCCTCATTTGTGAGAGGGATTTAAGGCAAGGAAGTGTCCGCCGCGCTGCCCCAATGCGTGTTAGCGAACTTCACATGTCTTCGAAATAATTTTTTTTCTTATTTCTCAGACATGCAGGTTTCCTCACGATGTTTTCCTTCACCGCCGAGCACGTGGTAAATCAGCACTTAAAATTGCAATTAACAATTTCATTGGTGCCGGTGGGGATCGAACCCAGGTTACTCGCGTTCTGTTATATTTACAACGTTATGTATCAACCAAGTGAATATTGCATATATAAAAATGGGATTCCCCGCTTGAAATACATACGTAGCTGCGTGTTATGTAATAAAAATAATATTTTATGTCTGGATCACGGAAAATGAATGTCACACTTTTTCTGCCACCTCGGCAGCGCCACTTTGGAATGTGGTGAAATATTTGACAAATTTCATAGCGAGAGAAGTTACTTTGTTGGAAAAGTGTAAAGATTAATGTTTCTTCCAGAAGCATTATTAATATTTTAAATTAATTAGATTAGAAATATATAATAGTAAGATGGTTAAACCAACCTACGGATTCCTAAAATTACGTATAATTCTAAAAGTTTGTGAAAAAATGGAAGGACACAGCACTGAGGCATCGTTAATGCCTAATGGCAGGGCGCGGATCGCGAACTCAAATGGTCGTGGGTTCGAATCCGCCATTTGACTACTGTCGTGAACCACTCCTAACACAAGCTTTTCAAACTTAGCAGGAGTGATTAAAATAAATATTAGTTATGTTAATTAAAAAGATTACTAATATTTAAAAAACAAAACAAAAAATAAAAAGATATGTCAAGGACCAGTGGATGAATCAGAGTACTATTTATAATGCCCGGGGAATATGAATAACAACCAGTCAAATCGGGCT